CGTCGCTTTGATGTGAGGTGTGTACAGAGGCTGCAGGAGACATTCATCTTTTTCCGCCGCTGCTTTGACACTATTACCCCTGCAGAGGTATGTTTTACGTGCGGTTCATTTAAGCTTCGCTTTACATTGTATTGTCAATATTAGTAGATACCAAACTACATGTCATTTACAGACCACTTGGCAGCCTTGGGCTCCATTGCCTGCGACGATTCAAGATCGGTTTGCCGAGGCAGAGGAGACTGCACGTTTTCGGATCCTGCTGGAGGGCCCGGTCTGTCGGGCTTGGTACTTGCGTGAGCGTTTCCTACGCCAGACCCTGGGCTTGCCAAAGCAGATAGTTTCGGGTCCGCCTCATACCCACATGAGGGACACCGAGAGGTTCACCGCCCAGGAGATGGCCGATTACACGATCGGCTGGGACACGGAGGGCTTTAGGGGCGAGGGAGACTACAGAGAATACGTCCAGACCTACATTATGCGGCCTCTGAGCGGTGGCCGTCGAGCTGAGAGAGAGAGACCCGCGGTGCCGGTAGCTAGGGCAGGAGCGGAGGCTGGGGCAGGAGCGTCGAGGAGGGCTCGGGTCCGCAGCAGGAGTGGAGTTCAAAGAGGGCGGGGGGCTGGTTGGCCTGCTCTTCCCACGGCGATGACATGCAGAGGGCGTGGCAGGGCGACCTACCAGATCCCTATTGCTCCCCCTCCGCCTGATCACGAGTTGGTCGGCTTCTATGACCTGCCTCCGGTATGTACTACTACATATTGCATTCTGCATAGTTAGTTGATTTCATTTGATTTGATATTCCGCAGAATATTGATGCTTCTTAATACTTTTACAGGCCTCTTCTGAGTACACTCGCCAGTCCTTGGAGCTGACCGCTTCAGTGATGGGGATGCTCCAGCAGAGGCTCGACCTTCTATCCATTTATAGCATTCTGGTATGTCCTTCTGACCACCGTCTCGAGCCATACATAGACTGTTTCACATACCCTGACACACAAAACGACACCAGACATACTGCCCTCACAGCATCTGATGCATTGTATTCTGTACTGATAAACTGCTCATGGCATTCACACACTGTACTCATACACTGCATTCTGCACCGATATTCTGTTCACAGTATTTACACACTGTGCTCATACACTGTATTCTGCACTGATACTCTGTTCACAGTGTTCACACACTGTACTCATACACTGTATTCTGCACTGATACTCTGTTCAGAATGTTCACACACTGTACACATACACTACATTCTGCACTAATACTCTGTTCACAGTGTACACATACTGTACTCATACACTGCATTCTGCACTGATATTCTGTTCACAGTACACTGATGCATTCGCTTTTTGTACTTTTCAACATCCCTTCTAGATCCCTACCGTAGGAGGTGCCCCAGCTGGACCTTCTGTTCCTACCGGAGGAGATGGGAGAGTATACCCCCGCACCAAGGCGGGACGCACCCATGTCAGGAGTAGCTCACGGGCGCCAGTTCCAGGCGATGACGAGTCTGAGGCGGAGACAGAGGCGGAGGCAGAGTCGTCATCGGAGGAGACCGGAGATGACTCGAACTCGGACTCAGATGACAGCGCTGATGATGCTCCTGGACCTTCGTCCAGGAAGAGGACGAGGACGGACCCCTAGACCCACGGCCTTTTGTCATTGATCCAGACTTTTGCTGTTTTTCTTTTCTTTTCTTTTTGTTTTGTACCTTTTGCTGGTAGCTAGAGTACCTTGTACTGACGCAGGCAGAAAAGATGATGAAATGAAACAAACTTTTTTGTCTGATAAAGTGTTGCATTTGTACATTTCATATATTGCATCGCATTACATCATGTTACATCTCAAACGAAATGAAATTGATCTGTTGTTTGAAAATTGAACACTTGCATTGTAATAATCTGATAACGAAATAGTCAACAGAAAAAACAAACCATACCAACCACTGCACATTCTGCACACTCGGCTCATACTCTACTGGGGATTAATCTGCATACAGCTCATAACGCAGCGCTTGGTTCATTTTGCACACAACAGATCCTGAACAAACAGCCCAAATCTGACAAGACGGACCATGAAGGTTGAATCTACTGAAGTTGAAGCACACTCAGATGCGATCTGAAACCCAGAAGCTTCAAAGAGGCCCAGCGTTTTCTTGTTCACACCTATCGGGGGTGGACCCTGCAGTTGTATGAAAGAACCAAATAATGTTTTTTGCACAAATGTGCAGAATGGCACAGCATTCTGAGCACAAAACAATTTTTTTTTTTTGAAAATGAGGAAAGGGTTCTCAACCGGGTATTGAGCCTACAACTAAACACAGCATACTATGACTCAATAAAAGGTACACGACCTAAACTCATCAAGTAACACTTGAAAAAGACTCAAAACAAAAGTTGAGGTAAACAAAACAAAAGACACGACACACAGACGTGTTATAAAGACAAGAGACCTCTCAGTTCGCGAGGAGCCAGTTTCTCCGGGTAGTGTTCCCCGCCGTTTCTTATTTGTGATTATCACATCCCTCTGGCACTCAAGCTTGTTTTTTTTCTTTTTTTCGCAAAACCCTTCAGCTCGCTTTTCCTCTCAACTTACACCTCTCTATTCTTTATTCTCTCATTTTTATCCCTCCCCGGGGTGTTTAATGGATGAATAGGAAGTTGTGGGTTCACGCTCAACCGTATCAGCTCGCGGCTATTCCTTCTGGTGATGCTTGGTCGATGCCCTGGATGGGGAATGAAGTATCTTGATCCATTCTAATTCGTGCTTCGTACTTGGTTCGATACCTCGTTGTTTAGAGGTTGAGAGAGCTTTCAGCTCTTTAATGACAGCTCCAATTGTGCCCTTTCTGGCGGGTAGAGTGTCCTTATGGCAAGGAATGTTAACCATGGGGTAAAGACAGAACACCTGACTCAACTGTGCCCCTAGTTCATCATTTTGACCATTTTTTGTTTTGGTTTTCTACTAAAATAATTTTGACCAGATGAGAGTTAGGTTAACATACTTCTTCGGTTTCTGATTTGAAAATCATGCAAGTCAGGCTATGAGCACTGAAAATTCTCCTTTTTGGGTCCAAGAAAATGGTCCAGTTTTGGAAAATGAAATAATTTTCGAGAAAATAGTCAACCTCAGTAAAAATTTTCAAAAACTATTTTTGCAAATAGCCAATGCTCAACGAGCGCGGAACCTACGCTTGAGATACACAATCTCTGATCTGAAGGAAAATGGAAAATTGCCCCTTGTTCGAAGGATGCTGTATGGCAACGGAAAGTTGCCCCTGGTTTGAATGGAGACTCATGGCAACGGAGAGTTGCCCCTTGTCTGGATAACGCCGTAGCATACTGTAGTCAGTCCTCATTAGTGATGATCGCAACTGAACTCTCGGATACAAAGAAGACGAAGATGGTTAAAACCAATATATGGACACAGTCACTTTGAAAGTGTTGGTGGCTGGACTTCAGGATGAAGTTGCCTACGTATCCCAAACATGGGAATCAAGCCTTACGTAGTTCGGGGTTAAGGTACACTCGGCTATTAACCTCTCCTTTTGCGCTCTAACTTTTGCCAAGGCCGCCCTTTCTGGGTTTTCAACCTTGCGAGCTTTGTTCTTCTTTTCTTTTCAATTCTTTTCATTTCTTTTCTTCTTTTTTCTTTTATTCATTTTTTTTTTGCATTTTCTCTTTTGTTCTTTTCTTTTCTTCTTTTTTTTTCGCTCTAACTTTTGCCTGGGTCGCCCTTCCGGGTTTTCGGCCCAGCGAGCCTCTCAAGGGTAAAAGTGTAGCTTTGTCCATGTTGAATGGTTTGAGATCCTGAAGTCATCTGAATCTAGGAGAACGGCTGTCATTCGCTGACGATGCAGGAGTCCATCCGATGGAGGCTAAATTTGCCCCTAGTGTTGTGGATCGGAACTCAGTGTTTTCTTCAGCAATACTTTCTTCTTTCCTCCCTCTGGGATTTGGCATTCTTGCCGATCTTCATTGATTTGTGGAATGATCCATCTTTGGCTCTTCGAGCATAATCTGACATCTTTTGCCCCTAGTTCGAGGAGTGTTCCTGATCTAGCTTCGCAAGCTTCTTTTGATCACATCTGATCTGCTTGCCCTTGGTTCGGGGATTTGCTTCAAATCTGTCCACACGAGCCTCACTTTGTGGTTGATCGTTGGACTTTTTGAATCTAAGTTCAAGGTTTGAAAGCCAGAGGTCGAGTCTCGGGGCTGAGAGCGATCCTAGGCTGCACAATCTCAAGAGTGATTCCACACAGGTCTTCACAGGACCGCGCAAAATATTTGTTGAAATCTTTCAAGAAAGTGACTAATCGCTCGAGCTAAAGATCCTTCTTAGTACTCACGCTGACAAGCATGATTTCGATCATTAAAGGCTTGGCATGACTCTCTTTCTCTCAATTTGATCAAAGTTTGCAAAACCCGAGGAATTCCTTCCTCTTTGTTTTCACCGCAGTGTTCAAAAAGTTTTGAAAAACTTAGGTCAATGCAATGATTTTTAGGGCACAAGAGAACAGATGGAATGTGACGACCCAGAATTTTTCCCTCCGCTCGAGCGGAGGATTTGACGCTCGAGCGGACTTTTGGGGCTCTCAGCAATTTTGCAGATGGCCTGAGATTCTGGGAGTGGTGGATCTCCGCTCGAGCGGAGAAGTTAACGCTCGAGCGGACTACTTTATTGGTCTGTGCGCGCTCGAGCGGTTGAAGCGACGCTCGAGCATGAGAAGTAAGATTTCCCTTGACATTGTAGTGGTGTATTTAGAATCTTCTTATTTTATTTTGGAGTATTGTTTGAGGTGGTAATATGATGGTAAAGTAAGATTGGACCAAAAACTTTAATCAGAATAGATTGTCTTCGACCAGCCGCCACTCTTTTGTCATTTTCTTTTTCTACATTTTGAATTTGGATGTCTGGTTAGAACCATTGGAAAGCTTATTTCCGGGGCTTCAATTTGGACACAAGAACGACCTAAAACGGAGTCCGGATGGGAGAGTTATACCTGTTCAAAGTTTCGAAATCTGTTCTGAAAACAGGTACGCTCGAGCGGGAATTCCTCCGCTCGAGCGGGAATTACGGGACAGCAGCTTAAAATGAGATTTTTTGGATCATTTCTCACATTTTCCTTTTCCCCTCTTCATCCCTCTCCCCTAGGTCCGAAAACCCTAGGTCCTTAATCTCCAAAACCTTCAATTTCTCTTAGTTTTGATCAAGATCGTCCATCAAAAAGTGAAGAAGCATGAAGATTATTATGTTCTACCGGTTGGAATTTCGAGATTTTGGAGGATTCTTCTCAATCCTTGCTCCTTTGTTTGATTCTTGAGGTAAGGGTTTTAATACTCTTCAATATTTGCATCCATAGATAGATTTGAGGTATTTTCATTGTATAATGGTTCAATTTTCATTAATGTTATGTATATAGAAGAAATTATGAGATTTTGGGAATTTTGGGTTTGAACATTGGGGGGTTTTAAGGTTTGTGATGTTGGGAATTAAATTGATGGGTTTAAGTGATGGATTGAGAATACTAGATGTAAAATCATTTGGAAAATTGGAATTAGGAGTGATGATTTAAGAAGTTTGATTTTTGTTAAAAATCCTCTTTTTCCTTGAAACCCTAGGTTGATTATTGATGATAACCAAAGATTTAACCCAAATTGAAAGTAGAATAATGAAATTGAGGTATTGAATTATGTATATACAAGTTTAATTGGAATTTGGTGATACTTGGAAATTATGTTTAGAATGTGCGAATGAACTTTGTTATGAGCACTGTGAATCATGTCTTAATGAGAAAGGAGATTGGGGGGAAGGGTTTGTGGATGATGTAAACTTGGCTACGGAATATTGAATTGAGTCTTAGCAATTTAATTTGAATTATGTGGAATTATATTTGGTTGTATTGAGTTGAATAATATTAAGTAGTGTGGATTGTATTAAAATGAGATTCAAGGGTTTATTTTGTATTTTGTTGAATTGCCAATAGTATTAATGAACTAAATGATGTTGTACTATGATGAATTATGTTTGAATTACGTGACTTGTGTAGGATTAGCTACAAGGACGGACTACGCACCTGAACACTGTGAGTAGTAGTACAAAAATGTACATGTTATTTATTGTTGATAATTATTGTCACTAATGCTCTATTCTTTGTAAGCGTTCTATGAATACTATAAAAATTGGAAAGTTATGTGACTCCATGTGAATTGGAAGTTATTTTGTTGTGTTACAAGTTTATAAGTTAAGCCTGTTATAAGTTTGCATATGTTATAAGTCAAGTATGTTATAAGCTCAAGAGCATTACAAGTTTAATTGTGTGGCAAATTTAAGTATATACAAGTTTAAGTAAATTTGCAAGTTCAAGTATATACAAGTTAAAGTATGTTACGAGTTTTACGTATGCTACACTCCATGTATGTTACAAGTTCACGTATGTTAGAAATTCAAGTATGTTACAAGTTTAAGTACGATACAAGCTTAAATATGTTACAAGTTTATGTATGATACAAGTTCATGCATGTTCTAAGTTACGCATGTTGCAAGTCCAAGTATGGTTTCAAGTATATTTCAAACATGTTTCAAGTATGGTTCCCAGTATATTACAAGTTCAAGTATGTTTCAGGTATGCTTCAAGTAAGTTACGAGCTCAAGTATGTTTCAGGTATATTTTAAATATGTTACAAGGGCTTTATGCCATTTTCAAGGGCTTTAATGCCAATATGAAGGGCTTTAACGCCAACAAGTTTCAAGGGCCTTAGTGCCATATGTTACAAGGGCTTTATGCCACAAGTTACAAGGGCCTCGTGCCACACGTTTCAAGGGCCTCGTGCCACCATGTTTCAAAGGCTCTATGGCCATCATGTTTATGTTGCAGGATTGGGCTTAAGGCCATATGAAATGAAAACAGGAACAGATTAACTACATGATCTTCGCATTTATTTATGCATTGTTATGTATTATGTTTAAATTGTGCATTTATGTTTCATACTATTCACTGAGCCCGGCTCACCCTCTGTTATGTCTGTTTCTGTAGGCACTCAACCTGGAGATTTAACCTGCACCTGTGGCTTTTGTTACCCAGTTGTCAAACCCTGAGTATCAAAGCTATTAGATGTTGATTGTTCAAGTTATGGAGTTTTGCTAAGTTTTAATTTGTACCCTAATTGTCTGTTAAGATCGGCGTATATGTATATGTACATAGCTATCTTCAGGTGCACGTCACTGTATATTTAACTGCATTATGTTCTGTTTGTGATCCTGGCATGGTAGTGGTAGCTCAATGGATATATTGTTATAATTATTATTATTTTTGTTTGCTATTATATACTATTAAATGCTTCCGTTCAGGCCCCATAGATTATATTCATCAGGCTTTATGTCGTTTTTCTGAGATGGTCATGCCCAAACTTTTAGGGGCGAGTTCTGGGCGTGACAAGTGGTATCAGAGCACGAGCACAATTTTTGGTTGATTTTGAACTGATAGTTACCTATCATTTATTTAGATGATTTGCAAATTGCTTAAATACAAAGTATGGAATATTTATGATACAGTTATGTCTTCCTTGTCATGGTACTATATGGACCTATGATTTGAAAACAAAATATTGGGATATGTACTTTGATTATCCTATTTTGTTAAGCGCATGACAATGACATGATATGACAAGCAATGCTTTATTTTCTGATATGTTATGTTACGAATTAAGGAATGATGATGGTTTCAGTATGTTACAAGATATGTTTTGCCATGTAGACACCCCCTTTTTGACCGACCTTAAGACTTAGACGTCACCAGTTGAGTTCTTGGTGATATTGCATAATGTGCTCGTTCAGAAGTTTCAGAGTCTTGGCTGCGAGCCCTGCCTTCGGACTTCCGAACCCTCTTCTGTGCCTTGCCTCGGTTTGCGAACCAGACTCGGTTTTCTCTGTTTCTTTTCCTGAGGGGAGGGAGAGGTCCTGTAGACCATCTCTCAGTGGCCGTGGGCTACATTTTGTGGCCATAGGCCATTTTTCCCATTTCGGAGCCTGGTTTTCGGTTTTTCGGGACCGTTGGCCGTGTGCCTCGGTTCGGGACCGCTTAACCATCTCTGTTGGCTCTAAATTTTGGCATACATCTTATTTTCTCCCTTTTGAGGGACACTGCGGTCTGAGAAACCCACTTCGTGGCCGAACGCCACTTTCGGTGTTTAACGGGCAGTTTCTAGGACCCCGAACTGCGTGTTTTGACCCCCGAACATTCGTTTTGCATTGGTTTTCGTTCATTTTTGGCAGGTACCTCTGTTTTATCACTAGGAAGGCCGTAGAAGGGTGGGAGGCCAGCAATTGTTGCAGCAACCAGTTTTTTACTCCTCCGGCGCCCTCCGACGCCCGTTTTTCGCACTTCCGGGCCAATGTTGAACACCTTGGAGCCATTTTCTTCAAACCCAAACCACATATTTGTGATGTACACACATGGGAGGACCCTAAAAGTTCATGGCCGGCCACTAATGCCACCTGACCCTTTTGAACCCTTCCTAAAAATGGCCTATTCTCTCTCCTGTTTTACAGTTTCCAAATTTCTCTCATGTTAGTATAAGTCCATGTTGCATTCTATATGCCATTTTAGCCACCTTGCATTGCATATGCCATTGTCTCGGTTTGCGTGCCCGTGTGCGCGCATTTCGAGGCACTTCATTTTCATCTACCGGCCTCTTATGTGAGTGCGGCTGAGGCTCTCTCATGTTAGTATAAGTCCATGTTACATTCTATATGCCATTATATTTGTGATGTACACACATGGGAGGACCTTAAAAAGTGGTGGCCGGCCACTATTTCAACTTGACCGTTTTGACCCCTAGCCGGCCGGCCACCTGGAGCTCCAAAAAGGGGCCGGCCATGTTCCTCTCAATATCCACTTTACAGCTGTATAGTTGTTTCCCCCAGAAAATATCCCAATCCGGGGGATATTTTGTGGGGGAAAGCTTGCCTCCTTTTCCCCCACCTTTACACCCTCCTTTTGGTCCTTATAACCAGCTGCCATTGTTTGTTAAGGGGGTTGGAAAATTTCATCTTCAAACTTGCATGCAAAAATCCCTCTCCATCTCTCTCATTTCCTTGAAAACCTTCAACCTCTACACCTCATTTTCTTCATCACCACCAAGCTCTACCACCACCACCCCATTCCAGCAGAAAGGAGAGGAATTCCAACAGCTAAGAGGCAACAAATTTGGTTCAAGAAGCAACAAAAGTATTGATCTTCAAGGGTGAGTTGCATCTTTCCCTTTTTGGCCCATTTCTTGTATCTTTTGTAAGCCATCTATGCTTTTTGCTTTGAGCTCCGGCCATAACTGAAAGTGGCCTTATTTTGAGCTCATTCTCTTGTTTCATTAAGGGCTCAACCCTGTTTGAGCCCTCCACATTGCACTTGCTTCGATATCCTCCTTAAATACCGTTTTCTTGCATGCTTTGGAATCCTATCATGATCCCATTTTTGGACGATTTACAGGCCTAAAGATGGCCTTATTTTGACCTTCTTAACATGTTTCATTAAGGGTCTTTGGCTGTTTGGTGAATATTTTTCATACTTCATGTTATAGCCTCTTTTGAGCCTTACTTTGCATTGCATTTCTAGCATGTTTGTATACTGTTTTTGGGTTTTTACAGTTCTGTAAACATGCTTATTTTTGGTCCCTCTTCAATGTTGTAGAAGGGAATTTTTCAATTTGGGCTGTGTATATACCACTTGCCTCTTTGGCCACCTTTTGGTCCGTTTTCTTGCATAAAAGCTTAGCCTTATCTATGTTTGTTTTTGAGGTTTTTACAGTTCTGTGAAAGTGCTTATTTTGGGTCCCTCTTCAACATTGTTCAAGGACCCTAACCTGTTTGGGGCCAGAGGCTATGAGCTTCTTCTTAATCTCATGTTTAGGGCCATTTCTTGCATGCTATTTTTGCCCTATCTTGGTTTGCTGTTTGGCCATGATTTGTACTGGTAAAATGCTAATTTTGGGACTGCCTAGCTTCTGTATTTACACTTCATGTCCATATTGTGCATGCATTGCATAGCTATAGGCCATTTCGGGTGCCAAAATTCATATTTCGGGGTAATAAAGAAAAAGTTTGTCTTATTTAAAAATTATAACCAAATAATTGAAAAAAATCAAATCAAATTAAATCAAACCAGACAATTTGATTTGGATCGAATTGATTTGTGATTTTTTTTCATTTTTTCCTCTACTCAATTTTGTTGCCTCCAAAGCAATCAAGGTACCAATTTGGTGGATTTAGAAAAGGGATTTCTTGCTTAACTATTCCTAAATTATGGTTAATTTTTTTTTTAATATTTTATTTCTAAACTATCAATTGAATTGATGTAATTTTTAGTGTTTCTCATTTCATTTCATAGAACATATTTAAATTTTAAAATGACTCTTTTGCTCATCAAATTAAGTTTTAATGGTTATTGATTTAGACAATTGTCTCTAATCACATTAACTCAAATTAGAAAATTTGAAAACTAAATAAATAAAATTGATAGTTTGAAAATAAAATAAATAATAATAATAATTTAAGAGAAAAGTGAAATTAGCCGATGTTATTAGCAACTTTAGATGATTATGAATTTATGCATAAAGTAGGTGACCTTTTGTTTTTAGCTAATTTATGAAAAATGATGCTTTAAGTTCACTCCCAGCTCGAAAACATCTAAGGTGGTAAGTTGTGATTTGTTGCAAATTTTTAGACCAAGGTTTGGCATGTGGAAATAGGCCTATTTTAGTTACAAAAACATAAAATAGAATTTTTAATTTAATAAAATAAAATGTCATATTCAAACTATAATTATTAAATTTTTTCTCTAACAAAAGTTAAAAAGGTCAAAAAATCTATCTTAAACGAAACTTTTTAATCTTAGATTAAAATAATTAAAAAATTAAAAAGTTAAAAAATCAACCCACACCCGAAACGAAGACTTTATACTAAAGAAATTTTTTTTAAAAAAAATTAAAACAAGAGTAATGATCCATAAATCCGCATGTATGTCAGTACGGATCTGTGTGTACAGGAAAAAGTTAGAATTTTTTTTTTTCCGTTCTTTTCCACAGTGGTCTGGTACAATATTTGAAAATTTGTTTTTATTTTTTATTTTGTTTGGACGTGTGTGGCAGTGATGGATGTCTCCATCAATCATATAAAAAATTGTTTTTAATTTTTTTTTTTGCTTTGGGCCCTTGATGTGTACTGTTTTGATATAATATTTTTATTTTTGTTTTGGCTTAACCATCCTACTTTGATTTCCAAAATTCCTTTGGGAAGGCATTTCCCTAGGTTTGTTTTGCATCACAAACCAATCTGGGACTCCAGGTACCCACGAACTTACTGACCCAGACGTTGAACCGCCTCTTTCTTCTTTCGAGGTCACCTTCGAGGCTGGCTGTGAAGACAATTGTTTGGCCCTGTCTTCACGCTTTAAGCCTGATGCAGGTTCTTGGTGATGGTGATCATTTTCTGTCCTTCGTGAAGCTGGCCCAAGGGGCCAATTCCTGGCTTTGATACCAAAACCTGAACTCTTCTCCAGCCTTCTTTCAGAATGACTGCTCTCCAACCTGTAATAGTTAGGAGATCTGGACTCATAGAAAGGCCTCTTGCCTTTAGCATACATTCTACCAACTGCAGGTTCAACCACTAATGGCTGCTGCCTGACATTAGCCGGATACGGCCTTTTGTTATAAGCATTGGTTGGTTTGGGACGCCTCTGCACATCCCTGTAATACTGCTTCCCATCGACTGGAAGGCCCTTCAACCACTTATAACTCAGTCTGCACCTGGGACACATTCGTTGCATCACGACTGCTTCTAGGGAGTCATCATCCAGTGCTTCTTCATCAGAGTCTTCCTTCTGATGTGGGAACTCTCGTCCCATGGCTGGTGGACTTCTAAGGTCTTTTTTGGTTGCTGTCTGGTTGGCCACATGCATCTGTACATTGACTTCCTCCAATTCTTTCAGAGACAAGTTCTGAAAGTCTGACATAATGACATTGGCTGCCACCTCTCCAATTTCTGGAAATGGATTGCTATCGATCCCCATGGCTTTTTCAGCTTTGGCTGGGAACTTCAAACTCCCCTTCCGAATTTGTTCTTGGATCCTGTCTCGAAAAACAACACAGTTTTTAGTCGAGTGAGACCAAGAATTATGCCATTTACAATATACTTTTCCTTTAAGTTCATCAAGAGATGGAATTTTAACCACCTGTTGGTAACTTAAGAAGTGGCCGGGGGGGCAAAACCCAATGATCAAAAATGTTCATCTGCCTTAGTTAAATCAAAAAGAAATTATTTCGCTTGGAGAATCTTTCTTTTTAAAT